TCAGAGTTGAAGAAGCACTGTAAAGAGACTCATTTAATAATGCTATGAAGAAACTCACTGGAACTCATTCAGAACACAGCCTCCAGGGAGATGAAAAGTTCTCTGAAAAACAGTTCAGCCTAACAATAGGAAGTGTGGGGGGGGGGGCAGTGAGAATAGTTCAGTATTGGTATTTAAATATTTGAAAGACTTACATGGAGAACAAAGCTTGTTGGGGGTAGTCATAAGTGTTGGAACTAGAACAGGCAGGGGAAGTTTTCTCATCTTGCTCCTATGTTTGCTGAAAGGGTGAATTGAGCATTTGAGGGAGAAGGGATTGTCTTGTTATCAAAACTGGCCAGACAGATTGTTGGTGGGAATGTTGGTAGAGGGAGGTAGGGATTCATGTTTCTTGTGAGGATTTAAATAATTTTAAGTTGCCATCTAACCTTGGAGATTCTCATGATTCAAAAGTTCAAATATTTATGAAAACTAGAAAGTAAAATATCTTATTGGCTGCATAAATATTTAGATATAAAATTTTATTATTTATTCCAAGTTTGAGGCTGCAAAGTCAAACTTGGAAAATTCAAACACTGCCAGACAGCAGTGACAACCATTGCCAAGATCAAGTACAAAAGCAAACAGTGAGGATACCCCACCATTAACTATGGGTACTACCTAGCACAGCACTAGACACCACTTTTACCTCTAGAAACTACTGTAGCACTTGCTCTTCCACAAAAGTAGTTCCTCATAGTTTCCATTTCTTTACAAAAGCCTTATTTACAAGTTCAAAGCTGAATACCAGTCTGTCGGTTTCTGAGTGCCTATACTCTAACTATAAGACAGTTGGGGACACAAGAATTTGGTGTTACTAATTTCTCTAGTGGGAAGTGAACTCTGCTTTCTACTACTCATAAGACAAGAAGTCCCTGAGACATAGGACAGTGTTGGGCAGTCTCCCAAACGACAGGCATTCACATTCCGGGCACTCCCGAGTTGCCTCCACAGGGCAGTAATAGGTGTCCTTACAAAAACATTAAATGTTTGTTTTCCAATCATATTTTGGCTGCAGGATTCCTTACCACCTATACAGATGTGAATATGCATTGTGATTCTCCAAAAAGGAGGTGTAGTCTGCAACATTTGTCAAATGTGTTTGAGTAAGGCAGCTTTTCCAAGGAACTTGTGGGAGGAATGTTATGTGAAACACACCCTGAGAATAATGGATTAGGCAATGGTAAAAAGAGGTCATGCGCAGAGGATTTTGCAGGAGGATGCCCAGATGTAATAAGAGATGAGAGCATTAGCAAGGTGGGTCAGAATGGGGAGTGACTGGAAGACTTTTGGCTGACTTCACATTTGATTCATTGGATGGTGACATGACTAGGGTGAGACTTCAAAGTGCTCATTGGACTGAGCTGATGCCTTCAAAGGAGGCTCTGTTTGTGCATGTAGAAGGGTTGAGAGATGGTAACCAAGAAGCAAAACCCCATGGAAAGATTCAATCAGTTATGATTAGAAGTAGGGATATAGATTTTAAATGAGACCAAGACTTGTGTCTGAAAGGAACACTATGGGTCATCTAGTCCAGAAGTCAGCAACTATGGCCTGGGGACAAAATCCACCATAGCCTGTTTTCATGTGGTCTAAGCAAGAATGGTTTTGACATTTTTAAATGATTGGAGGGAAGAGTATCAAATAATAACATTTCATGACATGTGAAATTCAAATTTTAGTGTCCATTAATAAATTCCATTCTTCTGACCAGTGGGCCTGCATTATGAAAAATTATACTCATTGGATATTTTGGGTTTTTTTTGGGTTTTTTGTTGTTGTTTTTTGTTTTTGGCAGTACTGGGGTTTAAACTCAGGGCCTTATGCTTGCTGGGCAGGCACTCTTAACACCTAAGCCACTGTGTTAGCTCTGGGGATATTTTGAATTTATCACTTAAAAACATGGAATTTTTATCTCTTATTATATAAGTACCTATATAATATTTTCAGATTTTCCTCTTGGCTCAGAAAATCTAAAATATTTCCTTTTCCAGTCCGTTGGAGAAAATTTTTGCCAATCCCTGCTCTAGGCCAGTGCCCTTACTTTACTAATACTGAAATTGGGGCTCAGAGTGACTCATGTGAGGCGTGAAGCTCCTTGTGATGGTATTAGGGTGGAGCCCACGTGTTTCAGGTCCTGCTCTACTGGGCCTGCCTCTCAGGTGCACCCATCCAAGTGATGCTGTGTGGCACATGGTGTGTATGAATGGTGTGGAAGGTGAGAGGGGGAGAAGCAGGATCCATTCCTCTCACAGTGCCAAAAGGTCATCAGATTATAGGTGTAGGTGTGGGAAAGGATTTAGCTATATTTGCTCAAATCTTAGAAGCCACTCCAACTTAGGCTTGGGTCTTCCAACTTTGACATTTGTATGTTTATTCATTTGAGGAACTCAAAGCTTTCTACCCAGAGAGTGAAAAATGTAGAAATTCCATCTAAAGATCATTTGTGTGACAGAAATTCCATCTGAAGATCATTTGTGTGACAGTGATGCTTGTTCTTACTTTGGCATCACTTCTTAGAAATAGAAATATTCAGCCTATTTCTTGAAATGATTGACTTTATGGGTTTAGTTACTGTGTCCTAAAATATAGCATGTGTCCTTGGCTGGGGAGAAAGAGGGGGAAAAATCTGATATTGAGAAGGATTTGGAAGATCCCACCCAGTCTTTGAGACATGATGGGACATTTCATTATTGTGTCAGCTGTAAATACAGAGTTCCTGTTAAGGGAACTCCAGTCCCTTTTGCTTCAGGTATTTCATTTGCCAGAGATGTAGGATGGCACCACAGCCATTTGTTTCACTATTTTTTTCAATTTATGATATAGTTTATTTTACATATGTTTACATTATATATGATAGCTTATTCTGTAAAATCATTCTCTAATTAATCATCTCCCTAACAGCCTAAAAACTTCTCTTAGATTTAAAGAAGCAATCTGAGGTCCACGAGAGTAACTGTTTCCTCTTTGGCTCATGTGTTCTACAATTTAGGAAAGGGCATGATAAATGAGTTACGTGTAAATTAATGCCATGAAACAGTTTTAGAAAATTCACTGACCCAGGCAAAATATGCTTGGTCTTCTTATGAGCTCCAAAGTAAACCATTTTTAAAGTTTGAAGGTAAATTTTTTATGGAAAAAATTACTGGGTTGAAGGGAAAGTCTTGAGTTTCTTAAAGCTTCCCAGCTTCCTTTAGACAAGTTGCATTGGCATGGGTTAGTTAAGGTCCTGGGCCTTTTGTGGGCTCTGACCTGAGGAGAACGCCCGAAGACAGACCCTCAGGCTCACCAGCCTCAACCTGGACTTACCTCCCGCAGCAGTGCTGAGGGACTTCAGAGCCTCTGGCTTTGAGGGCTGACCCCAGAGGCTCATGGAACTGCATTGTGAAACCCCTCTACTCTGCTAGGGATGGTAAGTCGCTAAAACTGCAAATGCAGGGTTTGAGAAAAGATTGGAAGGCTGGAAGCACAAATAGGAATGTGAGGGAAATGGCTTCAGGGTGATCCCAGGAGGGACTCTGTCCAGCTAAGCAGTTGCTGGCCATCTATAGTGACCAAAAAGGAACTGTGAGGTTCCCTGCTGCAGCTCAGGTTAGGGTTCTCTTCACATCACTGTACACTCTTAATTCTGGGTGCAGCTATCTAATATTTCTCTCTCCCCTTTAGACCATTGCTCCTCAAGTGGGGGTGATTTTGCCCCACTGAAGGAACTATTTTCTCATATTTTAGTATATAGTGGCAATCTATATTGAATGTTAGTCTTAGCAATGGTGATCCTTAAATTTATTATCAGAGATACCCAGGACTGAATATGTGAGGGGTGCTGTAGGAGGGGAAAGTTTCCAGCATAACAAACATTTTTTAATGCAGTTTGACCATTTTTAACTTATGGGAAGAGTATTTATCCTTTTGAGGAGACAGCTCTGAATGGCCCTAGGAGCATGACCCCCAGCAGAGCTGGCTCCCCTGGTCAGCATTAGCCCATCAGAGGATGCAGGCTGAGCCTTGAGTGCCCATTCATCCTTGTTTCTAACAAAGCCATTTTCAGAGCCGGAAAGCGTACCCTGTTTCAGTGTCACAGTTGCCAATTTTGATGAGCTATTTTGTCCCACAGTGCTCCACCCAACCCCTCACATGGTAAGGTGATGTGTTGAAATGATTGTGCATGCTCGCTCACCTTCTTTGGAGGTCTCCTGTAGCAAATTCTATTTCATATGTGTAGTGGGACTCCCTTTGAAGCCCACTCACCACAAGGGGAACAGTTAAATGGAGCAGCTCCAGGAGCTGACCTACTTGCAAGCTGTTTATCCTATGTAAAACTTTTTGGGTTATATGAGTAATTTAGTTGAAACCATGTCAGAGAACAGGAAGACAGGCAAACACTCAAAGGTATGTGTATGTGGTGAGGAATGAAATGTGTGTGTTATGTATTATATCTTTTATCTCTGCTTCTATGGACGTATTTTTAAAAAACAGAATCAAGTTGCTGTCTATACTGAGAAAAACTGTAGGAAATGGCCTTTTGCCTGTTTTCAGGATGATTTTAGGAATGTTGCTCATTACATACACAGTACACTCTGTGTGAGGACTTGAGAATCATTTATTTCTGTTCTAGGACTCAAAAATAATTATGATTTTCCTTTTACTGATGTGTGTTTTTTATTTAAAAAACAATGGATGCGTAAGTACAGTTTCTTTAAGAATCACTTGGTAAAGAGCATTGAGAACCAAATCGGTCACCCACCCAGTGTTTAGATGTTCATAGGTGCATCTGTCCCGACTTTGTGGGATATTCCTACCCCTACTTTTCTTTTATCTTTTCCAGTTTCCCTCAAGTTTATCACCACTGTTAATGTGTATCCCTATAAACCTGCAAATGTGCTTTTTGGAAAAGATAGCTTAGGGCATTTACTATCATAGACTGTCAAAACCCATTTCACCGGCTTCTTTTTTCCTTTCAGATCGAGACACTACCAGATGGGCTGTTTCAGTGCAAGAAACTGCAGTGTCTGCTTTTGGGGAGAAATAGCCTGATGGATTTGTCCCCTCATGTAGGTGAGCTGTCAAACCTCACACATCTGGAGCTCATTGGTAATTGCCTGGAAACACTGCCTCCAGAGCTGGAAGGGTGTCAGGCCCTGAAGCGGAGCTGTCTGGTCGTCGAGGACGGCTTGCTCAGCACCCTTCCTCTGCCTGTGGCAGAGCGTCTGCAGGCGTGCTTAGATAGATGTTGACCAACCAGACCAGAGAGCGGGCCACAACGCATTTCTGAAAGTCCGCCCGGGACTTTACATGAAAACAGAATGTCCTAAGCTGTAAAGAGAAGAGTGGGGGCAGTTACTACACGCTGTAGCCGTCTCTCCCTAACGCAATGCAGTGTCTAGGCCTAAGTCAAACAGATAAGAAGAGTCAACATCCCCCTGGAATTCTGGGAATAGCTGGCATTTACCTTACTGAGGTGTGCTGTAAGAAGCACATATTGAAGGTAGAGTGAGAGACATGAACTTAACAGATCTTACCTTGCAGCTTTTACCTGAGGATCAGAGAAGTTTCTTCTTCTGTCCCCAGGCCCTATCACTTATTTGCACAATTGTTTTAACTGACTTCCTTTTTGGTATTTATCACCAAGTCATAAAAACTCATTAGTATAAATTCCCTTGATGTATACTCACCACTGTCTATGATTTGTTTTCTAACATTTTTTAGGTAGGGAATATTGTGCTTGGCAGCATTCCTTTTTCGCTTAATTTTTACTTCCTTTCCCAGCTTGCTTAAGCCTTCCTTAATCTGGTTTTTCTGAACAACAGTGAAGCTCCCTGAGAAAATGCCTGCCTTTGGCCTTTGTGTAGAACAGGAGCCAGGATACTGAAGACATATCATCCTTTGGGCATCCTAAAAATTGATCTATTCCTGAAATTTTCCTCTTCATCTAGCATCAAAGCCTTTTTTATTTGTTAAGACTTTTTATATGAAATATAAAACACAGACATATTTTCTATTGTGTGATCTTGGATTCCAAGATTATCTGTGAGAATAATTTTTGTAAGGTACAAAGAACACACACATTTCTTTAAGAACTTAAAGATACTTGGTTTGGGCTGTTTCTGATTCTCATTTGTGCACATTCTGCTCCAAAATGTTTTTGTACTCTGCAACTAATTACTTTTGAATAACAAAAGACTTGTGTTTTGTGCCCTTAAGTATTTGGGGGTTTCCTTGTGAGAGGACAGCTGTATCATCTACCTCTCTCTTCATTAGTCGCTCTGCAATCGTACGGGTACAATTCTTAATTACTTATAAAAACTGTGATGAGAGGAGAGGGACAAATTCAGATTTTAAAACTGATTTGAAAATACTTTGTAGAAACCTAGTAAGCATCAAAGCAAAATGGGTTTTTTTTCCTCCATCTGCATGATCTTTAGATATGATTATAATAAAAACACTCAGCATCTAGTCAGTATCTAGTGATGAGCTTTCAAAGCTTGCAAAGGAATAGGTCATTTAACGAAATTCATCTCATGCCTTTAACTCTTCTGGAATACATTTGCTCCTTTTAAAGTTGTGTTTGGCCTTTTATTATCATGCATATTATTAAATGAATAAAATCAACTGGCTCATTTTGGGGAAATGTTCAGTCTTAATGTTTTTCTCTAATGGGTCTAGGCATTATGATGCCACTTCATTTTGGGTGTAACTCTAAAGTAATCTGTTAACTGGAAAACACTATGGGTAGAGTACTGTAAACATGGGATTGTGGTGTGTGGTACATGTTTTTTCCCTTGTTTTGTTCCAGAAAGATGAAAGTAAATCTTTAAAGTATATCAAATGTATCTTCTCTAACCTGTCACACATGCCTGGCCTGAAGTTCAGAGAAAAAGAATTATTCACATCAAATGAAATTTCAATAATTTAGCTGTAAACAATATAGAGCACCCAAAGCTGCCTAACACTTTATTGTTTATTCTGAGTGGGAAGGAACAGAGTAAAAATAGATTTCTTACCAAAACTTGCCTTTAATCACATTTAAGTTCTCAGGGAACCAGGCATAACTGATGAAACTGTCTTCTAGGACCTCATAAAACAGATTCTGACTATCCAAGGTTTTGTTATTTTTACTTTTTAAAATGTACTTGATGGTTATTTTAGTGTTTCACAGTAGAATTGTCATATGTACTGATTCCAGTGTTAGATGGTATCTTAAGTTTTGGACTTGGATGTGACTCAGACTTTTCAATGTTTTCAGCCAAATAATTCCACAGGAAAAATTTTCAAAGCAAAGTTCAGATTTGCTACCATTCTCCTGACAAACTGGAACTGAACTTCCCCATGGCTAGTCACTGTTATGTTAACATCATTGTCTGAATTTTCCTTATCACCTGCACAATGTCTGGGAGCAGTTTACTGGCAGGATCAGTAATGAATGTGTAAGCTGTTTTGTACACGCAAGAGTGTTACTGGTGCAAACTGTGTTGCTCTTGATACCACAGTTTTTAAATGTCTTTTTTTTTTTTTCATCTTACATGCCGGTGTTCAGGTGGCCTTTGAAATAACCCAGCACTGATACAATGAGTAATGACACTACTGCTTGACATGAGAACATAGTGTTAATACCACCTTACCACACTGTTGGAACAGGTTTTTATTTTGCAAGCATTTATACTCATTTAAGAAAAATTTTAAGTGAAGAAAAATGAAGTTTGCTAAATTACGAGACTTTAGTTTGATTTCCAAGAATGTATTTTCCAAAAAATACATTCCTCCCAAAATATAGAGGATTAAAAACAAAATTTTGACTTAAGCTAACAGTGGCATTGTTTCATTTTATTTGCATGCACACAGACACACATGCCCATACGTGCAAGTTTTTGATATATTTAATAGCAATGTTTGCAATTCATTACTAATAATCATGGAGTTATCTGTTTCCCTAGTTATGATATTTAAAAGACAACCAAGCCGGGTGCTGGTAGCTCACTCCTATAATCCTAGCTACTCAGAAGGCAGAGACCATAAGGGTCATGGTTTGAAGCCAGTCCAGGCAAATAGTTCTTGAGACCCTATCTCAAAATATCCATCACAAAAAAGGCTGGTGGGGAAGCTCAAGTGGTAGAGTGCCTGACTAGCAAGTGTGAGACTCTGAGTTCAAATCCTAGTACTGCCAAAAAAAAAAGACAACCAAATGTCTCCCCTTAGTGTTTTCATGCTTTCCTATAAAGGTGTCGTGTTCTTTCTGCAGCCTTTATCAAGGTGTGTCTGAATAGCATGTAGGTACTGTGTTCTCATTTTTTGCCCTCAGTCCTAACTTCTTTCCCCTCTGTCACCATGTCTCTCTGTCACTTAACAGACATTCATGTTAAAGCAGGGTAAATGAGATCCTGAGGATCATAGTGCTGTGGCAGACTCTGGCCGGTGTGTGTGGTGCTCAGCAATGGTTTCTGTTTGTAACATTCTGTTGGATAGTGAAATATATGTTTCTGTTCTTCAAGTGTTTGATGAGTCAAATTTCTTATGTTTAATTAAAATATTGCATAATATTGATGGGTTCATTAAAATAATCAAGCAGTTATTCTGTGGACTTGACATTATTTCCTTGTGTTTCTAGTAAAATTATCTTCCCATCTTTATATTCTCTTAGCATTGTTCTACCCACATAAGGTATTTTTTTTCCTTCTTCATTCACCCGACCCATTAAATTTGATGAGCATTTGCATAGTAACAGAATATATTTGTGCTAGAGGATTTGCAGTGACACCTGAGCATGTATTTACTTTTGTTGGGGGGGGGGGGAGAGCCAGTGCCTGTAATTATGGCTGAATAGGTCCACTTTATCCATCCCGGCAGTATTTTGAGCTGATCCTGTGATCCTGCAACCCTACCAAAAGAATGAGAATATAGCTGTAAGTCTACTTTGTTTTGTACAGTGATTGAGAATTTGTATTTATTTCTTTGTGGAAATGAAAGACTAGTAGGAAAGAGGAGGAATTATTTTGCATCCTGGTTGTATTCTGGAGACAATATATGTATGAAACAGTATAAACTAATAACTGTTGGAAAGTGCCCTAGATATAATTATTTCTTTTCTTCATCTGGGTGTGAGATGCTAAAGCAGTGAGAAAGCTGGAGTCCTCCCTGTGTAATTGGTCTCTTCATCCAGTGAGAGCTAACTACTAAGTACCTTTGGTAGTGGACTACATTTTCTTCAGCCTTTCTAATCTGAACAATTTCATCAACACTAAAGCAGTAACGAAGAATATGTGAGCCACAGTACTGAGTTGAGATCACTTCCAATTGAACTTTATTTCATATTTAAGTTTTGCATTTAATTGATATAATACACTATTCCTAAGAAAAACAATTATGAATGCCTTCTGCATGTCGTACATTATCTCTAACAGACAGAATAATTTTAAAAATCCAAGGGTATAAAGTGAGAGTGGGTGTTTGTGAACATACATGTTGTGTATCAGCCTAAATATTAACATTGTACAAGATTTTTTAAATGCTTCAAATGTTTTTCTCTTAGTGAACTAATGAGCCAGTCTTGAGACATTTTCTTTTGTTAGCTCACAGTAAAGAATAGCATTTGTTATTTTATTTTGTCACATATTTGGAAGTGTGCATGATTGGTTTTTGTTTCTGGTAATGAGTTATTAGAAAATGTAAGGGCCTGTTCAATGCTTTTGGCCCTCAGGTTTAAATTCCTCCTCCCAAATCAGATTCAAACTTCAGTGTTTTTAAAGTATCATTTGTGTAAAAATACTCAATTTTTATGGTAAATGGCAAATAAAAAATTAAATACTGGAAGAAGTTGACTGCACTTACCTTTACCTGTGTCCACTTAACAGTGCCCAGGCTCCCAAGTGAGTCCCTAGCTCTTCCCATGCTTCCATATACAATTGGACTATTAGGAGATAAAATGAGAAATTTAGATTTACCTGTGAATTATCAGAATCTGCTAAGACATTAGCATGTCTAAGACAATAACCACAAAATAGCAAGTGCCTGAAGAAAGAGGTAGATTCATCTAGGATACACTGGGGGATTGGGAGAGGGAGTGGAATCTGTTACTTTCATGCCAATCCCATCTCTCCAACAGGTTTCTGCTTCTCCTTGGACTCTTTCAGGTACAGATACTCAGAAACCAGTTTCTGTCTCTCCCTTCTTGTTGACATCTATTCTTCCACTTAGTTTTTAGTTTAATACCAACAGAAAATAGTGAACCAGATAAAAGTTAAGTAGCTGCAAGCCAGGCAATTATGAGAAGGTTTAGTAAAGAGAAAATTGTCATTGGGCAAAATATGCATATGACAGTCTGATGTGCACACACACTCACATACACATACATACATACTCCCCAAACACACACTCAAACACTCCCCACACACACTCCCACAGTTTCATTACCACATTAGATTCTGCTGGAATGAAGTATCTCTGACTGTTCCCTGACCGTGTTCCCTAAAGATACAGTGATTAAGCCTGGAATTCCTCCACCTCTGAGTGCATAGGAACAGCAAGCACGTTGGGGAAATGAGCAATGGCTGCTGAAGGCTTCCACTGCCTTTCAGTGAGTGCCTAGGTGCTTTCAGAGATGGAGTCCTGGACTAACAGCCTCCACTAACACAATCACTGTGGCTTTGTGTACGTTAGCATTCACTTCAAAATGGCTTCTCAAGAGTGCAGCCAGGGGCTTGACTGTGGAAGGGAGGCACACTGGCACCGTGAGGGCTGGTCTCCCTCCTGAGCTGCAGCTTTGTTCCTGTTTCAGCTTCCTTCTTTGGACACTTCCCCCTGGTGTCCTCCATTCTCCTCATCTCTGAGGTCTAGTGAAAGCAGTTTGCCTCAAAGGCAAAAGTAAAATGTTGAGCTCAAGCCCCATATTTGTAAAAGAGCATATAACCACATGCTAAAGAAGGATCAGGAAAAAAAAAAGCCACTTTCAATATGTGTAGTCTTTGTAAAAATACAATCTCTTC